CCATCATTACCATTGCCACCGTCACCATCCCCATCATCATCGTCATCATCATTATTATTATCATTATCACCATTCCAATCGTCAGATCCCTATCACAGTATGTGGGAAAGGACTCTGCCATTAAAGTAATTACACCATTCGAAAGTAGCACGTGACAATGGTTAAGGAGGTACAATGAACACGATAGGCTAGGACAAAACACTTGCATAGAAGGCTTATTTCTAAATTGAAAGGCTGACCGGAGGGCTGAAAAGGGAAAATTTAATGCCCAATATTTCGGTTAGACAGGACTAACCTTCTTCAGGAGCTACACTGGAGCTAAGTAGATATGGATAAAACGATTACTAACTTTCAAATGATACTAAAGGAAATATGTGACATGAAGGTTGACAAAAATAGAGAAAAAGGAAACGTGTACTAAAGCGGATAAAGAAAAAATAATAACAATAAAGACATTAAATTTCGTCACGCCTGTTTAACCCAGAAGGTTCAAGGGTCTTACCCTTGGAGACCAAAACTGCTTCTCCTTCCTTGCGAATAGCGTCCCTATTTGAGTTGATGAGTTGGAGAGCAACTAGTTCTATGTTGTCCAAAGAATGGGCAGGAAGGGCAAAGTGATCTGAAACGGCGGTGGGTTGGTCACTATGTCGTTGTGTAATGGCTTTTTGGATTGCGCGTCTGTGCTCACCAAATCTGCCGCCGAGATGACGTTTAGTCTCGCCTATGTATTGAACGTTGCATTTATTGCACTGTATCATATAAACCAGATTAGAAGATGAGAAGGTGATGTGATGTCGTGTACGTCTTTGTTCGTTGGTAGAGAAAAAAGTGTAAGATGTGGATCCTTCTGAAATAAAAGGACACGTTTTGCACCTATATCTGTAACAACGGAAGGCTCCCGGAGCCGGGTGGGGGAGTGGGGCTTGTCCGCGGCGTTTGGCCCTGACCAGTATGTCACGTAGGTTTTTGCAACCGCGGTATGATATACGAGGAGGAGAAGAAAATGCTGCTAGGCATCGCTGTGAAGAACGAAGAATGTTGAGGTTGCTGAAAATGACTTGACGTATATTCGGTAGGGCTAGATAAATGAATGTTTATTGACGTCAGAATTTCATTTCTAACTGTGACAGAAATACGGTTTGTCATCTTTGTGTTTTCTACTATATTTTCTACTTTTACTACTACTGATATTATTTTGCACTGTACATATTGAATTACTAAGTCCTTGATTGTGGTAATCATCATCTATGTTCATATCTTAGGTGTGCAGCATTGTCGGTTACTACTTTATAATCAAATTAAGTTGTGTCTTGCTTGCTTTTTTCTTTCCAGTTGGTGATCTACAGGAAAAAGAAACACAAACAACAAAAAAGAGAAAACAAACAAATAAATTATATTGTCCTTTTTGATTCATAATGACGATGTAAATATTTCTATTCTATTTCGCTTCGCTCAGCCGAATAAAAAACATTTCTATTATAAGTAGAGGAGACAAGTAATACGACAAATAGTGGAGGGTGCCGCCAGCAATGATCGAGTTTATTTACAAGAATCTCAGACACGCTGAACACAGGTTACAAGCCAGACAATATAAGAAAATGTCACACGCTATTTAAAAAAAAACGATATAAACAATAAAGAAAAAACAGCTTCGAGTAAACTGGTCGGCGTCAAGTGGTGTGATATTCACAAGGAGTGGTATTTTAAGACCTAATTAACCCAGTGGGAACTATTACAAAGCAACCTAATCAGTTAGACACCTAAAAGAAATACATGACAATTGCTACGTCAGGAAGCTCCTCACACAAAGGTGTTTACAAGGATAAATAAATACTTGGTCTATACCAACTAAGATTTGTGTATAGGGGTTTTTCGACCTTATGACGTCAAAATATGGTCTTATATATTAGCAGATTTATAGTCCCATTCATTACTGATTGTGGAGGATAAGGTGCAAGCATACTTTTCCAAGCTATAAATTTGTTCACAATTATTACTCTTGTTTTTGGAATTTGCTTCAAATCTCTGAAAGTAGCACGCGACTTGACCTATTGACCAAGAAAAAGTAGACCACATGGAAATTGAAAATAGAGTTACCTTTGAAACACTAAAGTTGCAAATACCTGCTTATTTTGGCTTACACACAAAGCTGCTTTTCCAGACCTCCAGGTTTACACCAGGCAGCTCATTGCAGCTGACAAACCCTTTCACAAGACTAAGAGCCTCTTTCGGGATGGCAGCAATGTACTCGCTGTTATTGCAGATTACTTTTGCCAGGGACGTCTTTCTAATCTCCTCCAGCTGACAGGCCGTGAATGCCGTTTTGGTCGTATGCGAGGAAGCTTTTGGCTCATTTTCGAACCAGAACCGATCCCCCACTCTCAAGAGTCGAAACTGCTCAGCAATGAGGCATTGGAACGTTGGGCCTAATACGCCACCTTTTGTAGATTCACTGGGCGGCTCCAGTAGTCCTAAAGAACGTAAAAATTTTCGTCAGATTCTTTCCATCCATATTGTTATGTGTTCTTTACTTCAGCTTATGATTTTCATTGTTCGCAAGAAAGATCTTCGAAGCCAGGCCACATTGAAGAGTTTCCGTTTTTCAAAGTAAACTGGGTAAATAGTTTTCGGGCCCGAAAAACGATTTTTAGTTAATCGGTATTTAAAGACATACAGGTGTACACGCCTAAAACTCCTTGTACGGAATGGAACCTCTGTTTATATTAAGAATATGTGAATAAAACAGCTCTGTAATCATACGGTTTGAGACTTTTACTACCGCTTTCCGGGTGCGAAAACTTTTCGGGACCTTCTAGAAACGGGCCCCAGGCCAGGAACATTGCGTTGTGTTCTTGGACAAGACACTTTACTCTCACAGTGCCTCTCTCCACACAGGTGTATAAATGGGTACCGGCGAACTTAATGCTGGGGGTAACCCTGCGATGAACCAGCATCCCATCCAGGGGGGAGTAGAAATACTCTTAGTCGCTTCATGCTACTGAAACCGGGATAAGCTCCGGCCTGATGGGCCACTTAGCTCGTATCCAGACTTTACTTATACAAATCGTAACGATACAACATACCTCCGGTAAACAAGTCGATATCCACGACATCCTCGTATACTTTCTTTAGATTTTTAATGTCTTCCTTGCTGAACCCAATTTTCTTGAGATCTTCAAAGCTTTTGATATTTGCTTTTAAGTTACACACGCCACTGTTACGGAACGTGACATAAGAGGGCACTCCACGCTCACGTGACCGTTGGATATTGATGCTTATAAGGTCTGATAGATCACCGGGGCCTCTGAACAGGTTTTCTTGTATGGACTTGGAAAACTTTCTAAGAAAACAAACAAACCAACCAACAAAAGCGTCCAATACAAATATCATGTTATAAATGAGTAGTATTATATATAGGGTTAAGGCTGGTAATGAACGGTATAACAATAGTATTAACTATAACCAGCCGTGGACGATGAGGCGGGTAAGGCAAAAAGTTAGACGGGGTTAGTTCAAGACAGAACGAGTTGGCGGGCGGCTTCCATAGACCTGTGATCCAATGGGAGCGAAAGGGCGTAAATCTTTAGTATTAGCGTTTATGCGTATATTCTTAAGAGGCCGGCTGTATCTTGACACACCCTATGGGCTTCAATGTCAAAACGAGAACACAACACTCGAAACATGTGCTAGTGACTTTAAGAGCTGATGAGCCTTTTATCGTTATCGATTTTCCAATATTATGATATCTAGTGGAACTTGGTATCTACACAAGACACCTTTTTATCATTCCCTGTATTTATAAAACATTACAATTTGTAAAGTAGATCCACGTTGAATGTTCACTTGGACTGTCAAGCTCGCAGAACGAGAACATTATGTAGGTACAGAAAGATAACAGTATCAGCGTTTTTTACTACTGTCGAACCCAGCCCAATTAAGCGGCCACCCTCGGGAAAATGGGAGGTGGCCGCTTAATAGAGGTTTGTTTACCTTGAATATCTTCACCACCGGGTTGATTTAATCGTGAATATGGAGTCATTCGTGTGTTTGAATGTTATCTATCGTCGCCTTCTATTTCGGACTCTTATCGATCTGCCATCGCCTTTTCCGAAACAACTTAATTTACGTGTACTGATTTTTGGGTGGCCGTTTAATAGGGGTAAAGACAATAGAAAAACCCTCGTCTGGACGACTAAAAGGTGGCCGAGGTCGCCAAACAGAGGTGGCTGGTTAATAGGAGGTTTCAATTACAGTGCTTTACCGACAATAATTTTGGGACATTGATGACTGGCCGCTTATTAAGAGGTGGCCGCCAAATAGGCGGCCGCTTAATAGACGTTCGACTGTATACATAATGTCTAATGACTACGGCTGCTTCCAAGAAAGAAGCGCAAAATAGGATGAGATCGAAAGCGAAGGTGTCGGACTTATGTTTCACCAGAAACCAAGAAGTGTACAGAAAAAGCTGTATAATGCCTCAACGATCTAAATAGTATTTGCCTGAAATAAAGCCTCCCTTGAACGATATATAATACTCGTAGATTTTTGCATTCTTACCCATCCACTTTTGCCGCTGGATCCTTTACCAGTCCTCTGAAAATACTGTCAATTCCTCCTTCACATTTCTCGTACAAGTAGAAAGGATTGCCAAAATCCTTCAGTGGGATTGGCAGAAAGTTGTCTTTCTGTTGGGGGCAGTAGCTGCAGGGTTCGTGCTGAAATCCACATTCAGTTAATCTTCGGAATTCCTCTTGAACGAGACTGTGTCCGAAGCGAAAAGCTGCCACTGCAAAGGCTGCAAAGATTGATGGGTTTGCGTTTTTATCATAGCCTTTGAAAAAGCTTCTTCCTTCCAAGAGCTTCAGATTAAAGTCCTTTATCTAAACGAGGAGACAACAAAGTCAATCAATTTCACCACAATTTGTAGCAATCATGATTCAGTTTTTGAACTGGATCACTACCAAATATCAGAAACTACATTTTTTTCAGCCTTCTGGTACAAAATAAGTTCCTTGTCTTTTTAGTAGTGTCTCGCTTTGTACTCGTTGTAAGTTTGCCCACGTATAGAGAATTACTTTTTGGGTCAATGGAAGTTTGAGCTCTTTATATTAGCTGACAGGCGTTCTTTCCCTTTCCTCAGCTAATTATTTCGGGCATTCAAACTACTATTAGTCGTGATTTATTTTTTCACACCTCACGTTTTTGCCTTCGTTACCATGCAACTAATTTTTGTTATTTTTTAATGTTCTTGCGTGCGACAAATTTTTGAACAGCAGTACACAATGATAATATGCGAAAAATCCAAATTTTAGACCGTACTGAAAATTGATTTTGCAGAAATTTAGGTTCGTGAATTTGCTACTGCATGCTAAAATGACGTAATTATATTCACTAGTCTCTTACTATGTTCCTTTTTAATATATCATTTCTCTTGAATTTTTACCGTTTTTTTCCCTAGTATCAGCGGAAGAAACTCGTTGTAGGTTATCACTTGGAGTTGCGCGCCAATTATTTTCCTTGTTTCTTGAAAAATTCTTGACGCATCCCAGTCGGTTATCTGGCTTAGTTGTTCGGCGATGAGATTATGTTGGCGAAGCCAGAGAGTGTGCATCGACATAAGACCTGTTAGAGCAAAAAAATTAAAGTATTTGGTGATAAACATGATTCTTTTTCTACACACCGAACCAAGCGATTGACCGACTGACTAACTAACTGCCCGACCAACCGACCAACACACTGACTGAAATACCGACTTAAAAGTGACTTAGAAATGGATGCTATGGGTATGCAGGCGCGTTTTGTAGCGCGAATTTTTATACATCTTGGCAGCAAAGATAATTATCACTTAGCTTCCCTTAGGATGCGAGACGAAGAACTCAACGCTGAAGTAGAGTTCTACGGGATAACAAGATCAGTGCCTTTACTACGTGCTGCTTCGTTTAAGTAAGCGCCGCTCGAAAATGAGTTAAGCCGTAAAAAGGACGCTCCCTACGCTATTGGCCATTCTGCCCATCGTAGCCGGCGTTTTACACTATACCACTCAAGGTAGCCTTTTGTGCCCTTATTCATACCTTGGTTTTCGTTGGTACGTTCGTCTCCTGACATAAAGCAGGGCCTGTTTGGGTCCTTGGAGACGCAGAATACATCAGGATCTTGTCTAGGCAGCAGGTTCTTAAACGGGCACCCGTGAGGATGTTGCATGTCCCTAAGCATCCCTCCGTTTCCCTTTAGATTTTCTGCAAGTTCATCTTCCGAGCCGTAGATCTGGGAGCCGTCGACGAAAGCCGTCAGTCGATTGATGTGTTCTCGAGGACGCAATGAGCAGTAGTGTGGCGGTTTGAAAGGGGCATCTCGTTCAACCTCGATAAATGTGACTTCCCTATTCCGAAAGACATCATCGTCTTCTGGGATCTCTATATTTACGCATTCCGGATCTTTAGTGTCCAGTTCACAGTTGATTCCAGTACCAAGTGCAAGCGTGATGTCGTGATCCAGAAACTGTCCCCATATCATGGCCAAATGGCTGAGTGTCTTGGAATCAGGATTGCTGTGATCTGCGTTGCTGCCGTGTACTTTCCGACTGACGTCTCGAGCGTTCGGAAGAGGCTTGTTGGATTGAGATTTTCGGGGTTCCGAAAGGTCATCGGCGTAATCTGGTCCCTCGATTCTTTCAAAGGCAGTTAGGGCAGCCCCCCACGTTGGATTCTTCAGGTTATTACACGTGCCATTTATGGAACGAAAGCGTTCGTGTGGGTTGCATTTTAATTTTTTTTCAATGCTTGGGATCTTCGACGTTAACCGGAGTACCTGCTTCCTGCACTTTGCGGTATCTCTGCGAAGGCAATCAACTTAACATTATGCACGCCTAGAATTAAAATTGATGAAAGCTCTATTAGCTATTTTTTTCCACAGGTTAATTTCAATACGTATGAGGTACCGATTTCGTTTTCATGGGCTTTTCTCTTACTTGAGACGAAGTTAAAGGAGTCTTGAAAATCACATGAAAGAAGGGAGAGCTAAATCTCATTCATCTAGAAAACGCAATTTGATGACGATGAAGGAAGAAATATGGTGAGCAAATAACTCTAACAAAAGGCGTTTTCCTCAAATTGAACTTTTCCTATTCAAGAATGTTTTGGCTTCATATTATTTTACAAATGGTATGGGTCTAGGTTAACTTCAAAAAGGGGCTAACTAAAAACAACGTGAACCAGAAAAAGCGCACTTCAGAGTGGAGTTGGAGTCAGATCGGCTTAAACTCGAGGAAGGCTTTGGTTACTTTACAGTTATCAGCAGTCCCTTAATTGCATCTATATAAAGCCTTCGTATTGGCCGTATTGGCTCCCTCTCTTTGGGCTATGCTACTTAATGCATGATCGTTGCATTTTGAAAGTAAAAATAATACATATTCCGCAACAAAAAGAGTTTTTATAAAATAGCCTGAGTGTCAGGCTTTTTCAAGAGGAAAGAGAAACATACTTAGACAAAAAGCTTGGTGGGTGACTGCATATTTTCTTGACCAAACACACAGTGCAAATCCCACTCTTTATTGCTGATAACCATTCTTTACTTGACGCAAAAGATTCTTCGCCATGCTGCAAGATCTGGTAGTTGTTTCTAAGAATTCTCTTGTCTTTTTCTTCCCTCTCCTTCAGCAGGTGTCCTGTTTTCTTGGTTGCTTCCTCGGTGCATTCTTGCTCGAGATTTTTTTCTTTAATGAACTTTTGCAACTTATCAAGCAATCCTTTGTCAGATTGCTGGTAAGGCGCATCTTCAGTATCACTCAAGTCTTGAGCTTTTCCTGTAAAGTCTGCGATACTGTCTCCTGGATAAGCTTTGTCGATGATGTTAGATGACGTCAGCTGAAGCTCGGCAACCCAAATAAGCACAAGAAAAGCGCAGCAGCGAGTCATTCTGCGTATAGGGAAGCTGTCGTGTAAAAGGAAAATAATATCGATATTGACTAAGCAAACTATAATCAAGTACAATTTGAACACAGTGTAGCATTTTGTCTCACGCATGGATTTTTTGGACTGTGAGGTAGACAGAAAAAGACTTTCACAACTCTGGAAAATTTTCACGAGGACTGAAACTTAATCTAACGGAAAATGTGTCGTTGACTGCCAGTTATGATCGAATTCGTTAAACTTATTTCAGACTAGAAATTCAACGCGAGTATATCTAAAAAGAACAGCGAGGCTAAACTTTCGATTGCGGTGAAATTAGTCTGCGTAGCAGAAGTCTCTCCGCCTGGAAAAGGAAAGGAAATGGCTGCTAGGCAGGCTATGGTGAAATTGGGCCACGTCATGTGGAAACCGAAACCAGCAATGCAAGTACCGGTGGATATTCTCTTGAAGTTATCTAGTTTTCTTGATGAGGGGGTGGGGCATAGGGGCCTATTAGAAACCGAAAACCGCACAGGAAATCGCTGAAAACCGTAAAACCACAATAAATTTGTCTAAATCCGAAAACCGAACCTCTTTCTGTTATTTCATTTTTTATCAGTCTAGACTTGTTTTATTTTCAATGTTCTTTCAGCATATCCCTTCGTTGATGCAGAACTCATCATAATCTAAACATTTGCCTTACTTTTTTGTAAATTAGCTCCAGACCTGTAGCAAAATTTGTGAAACTAGAAAAAAAGCACGATAACATGATTAAGGTGATTTTTGTCTAAAAGAAAAAGACTGAATTGGAGAAAACCCGCAAACTCAGTGCACAAGACACCAAAGCCGAAAAACCGCAGTTTTTAAGTGCGAAAACCGAAAANCCCCCCCCCTCCTTCATGTTGTAGTTTGGAAAACGATAACACTGAGCTGATTTTGTTTTTGTTTGTTGTTTTCACTTGAAAATAATTTTGCTCGATTCTCACGGGTTCGCCAGCTACGCTGATTAAAACGGTACCAAAGACTAACTGTTTCGTGTAAACCCAAGTTGAGTTTGGATAGGAAAACTAATTTAGAAGAAATCAAAAGGCGATAATTCTTGCGCGATGACGTCCCAGTCACGCTCTTTCGATGGCTGATCCCCAATAGGTTAAGATCGCTCTTGGCAACGAGCTTCGTCTCGGTCCGAAATTTGGGACATCAGTGCGGCGTTGATGACTCCCAATCCTAAAAGTTTCCAATATAGGACAAAACTAATTGCTTGTCCTTTGTTACTTTTTTAGCTCCGGTCAGAAGGCTGATTGAACAGAAACATGAGCCTCACTAACACCAACCTTTGTCTTCAAAAGACTCCGAAAACAAGGATAATTCTGGTCCTAATTTTACTATTGACTGAAAAGTTAATTCGAAAAAGATTACAACCCGCTTACCAGCACCACAGAGATGAACCCTCGCCAACTATGATAGTGGTCGACTGATACTCTCTGGCCTCTGACTTTTTAAGAGGTTTTATGACAATGTTCTAGCTAATTATGCAACGATGCATGGTTAAAAACGTCACAACATCTGGTACCGGTTCATCTCACGACAAACTTTCCAAATATTTACTTCTTAATTATCTTTTAACCCTAAATTAGGGAATTTCAAAAAATTTAACTAACGTCAACAATTTAACAAGCTAGGCTATCATATGCATGTGGATTCGTAATATATGACATTCATATATTTTAACTGTCGAATAAAGATTCAATTAGAAAAAAAAACCATCCCGGCTAAAAACATGATTTAAGTGGTTGTGATAAAGCCTAAATTGTTGTGTGTGTGTGTGTTTTTTTTTCCTTTCTCATGCATGTAGCTGGACTTGTACACTAAATTAAAGAATGCAAAAGTTTTAACTTACTTTTATCAACTGCAGCCCCCTTAGTAAAGGAGTATAATTAAACAAAAAAAATTATGTTAGACATAATATAGAATATATTAAATTCAGTTATTTGAGTTGCGGGAAAAAAATAAAGATTTAATTACAAGAAAATTTGTCGCAGTTAAGTACACAACTCCACTAGGTGTAATAAGGCCATGGTTTGTTCCGTCTCATACATATATACGGGTAGGCGTTTTTTTATTATTATT